CAGATTTCATTATTCTATGTTCATACATTCATATGAAGTACTTCACTCCACATTTATGCTTTGTTACCCATTTCTCTGGCTCTCTCCTCACCTACTGAATTCCACCTCTAGGTAGTCCACCCATTTTCACCCATCAATTTATTAATGCTACGTATTTCTTATGAGAGAGAAAATCTATATTTGGTTTTTGTAGACTGTCTTATTTCACTTTACATGATGATTTCCAATGATTATTTATGCAAAATATTGTTTTATTTATTTAAACTTTATCAGCCTTCCTAAATTCCTTGAAGACAGCTTCATATCTTGCCTACTGCTATATACCTTGTGTTTATTTATAGGAATTGAAATCAAATTACATTTACCTAAATACCTAAGAATTCAGTTTTACGTGCTAAGGTTTCAAGGCTCTAGGGGTTGGAGCCAGAACCTCACTCATACCACTAGGCCATATCCCTAACCCCTTTAGGAATTAATTTTAGCTTACTATATACAAAGCAAAACTAATACTCTATGCAAGCAAAATGATGCATAAAAATCATATGCATGTGAATGTTCATGCATGTATTCTTCTGAACATAGTTTCACTGCCTTTACAAAAGCCTACAAATGATAAGCATTTTGGAAAATACATGGTGAATATTTTATGTTTCAGCAAATTTTTTTCAATAGAGGACAAATCTAAAATACTCCATTTAGCATTCTAACAGAAATCTACAAAGGCAAGTTAAAAAAGAACACACACTTTTACAAACAGTTTCCATTCTTCCTGAAAAGACTTCTAAAATCACATATTCCTGCCCTGGGATTTAGTGGTCCTATACTAAGCTTTGAATAAAAAACACATTCAGCTTATCTGTCAGAAATACTTCAAACAAAAGCAGTCACCTTCCAGAAAGGCTAGAAGGTATATCTTACATAATGACAAATGGCAGGTATAGTTTATGAAAATTCAACACTGTCAACATGTGATTGTTACTTTTCACCAATTCCCAAAGCATATGATTTTATTTTTTAACATGAGATAGGGAAAATCGTTTTCTAAAATACTAATTATACAACAACTTCTTCTCCCAGCTGGGAAGTGAGGTTCAGTAAGTCAACAGGATTCTTTCAAAACATATAGAATTCTCCCTAGCTGGTAAAGATCATATTGCCCTGTAAGATTTCCTTTGTCATCAAAAAGCAAAATATATTTCAAAAAGATTAAGTTCATTGTTCAGAAACACAGCAATAATATTATAATCAAGATGAATTGTAATATTTTTAGTTGAAAATGTTTTTTAAAAATGAAAATATACTCTTAAGGGAGGAACACCAAGCATAACGCTATGTGCCTTTGAAATATAAAGTAATATTTATTGAAATGAATTCTAGGAAATGGAAACAAATGGTTTTGGCTTCGTTATTTTTGGTAGTTTTTTTTTTTTGTCTTGTTTGTTTATCTGTGTTTCAGAGTGTGTGTGTGGGGTAAAGAAATGGAGGGACACAGGGTGAACAAATGCAACAGTGGTACTTACTAGAACCATGTTGAAAATGAACTGTACAACTTCTGGGTAAATATGAAAGGTAAAACTTGGAGGTAGCAAGGGAAGGGGTGGCACTGTTCAAAAGAAATATCACATGGGAATGTGGCTTAGTGGTAGAGTGCTTGCTTAGCATGTATGAAGCCCTGGGTTCAATTCCTCAGTACCACATAAACAGAAAAAGCTTGAAGTGGCACTGTGGCTAAGGGGTAGAGTGCTAGCCTTAAGCAAAAGAAGTTCAGGGAAGTGCCCAGAAGTGCCAGAAAAAGAAAAAAAAGAAATGTACACATTACTTGATAACCCTTCTGTACATCACCTTTATAATAACAATAATTTTTTTAAAGAATGAAAATATATCTAGAATTTCCTCATGTTTCAAAATAATATAGCTGTCTATGTTTTTTTATTAAGAAAAGCTGGAGGCAGTGCTTGGTACAAAATGTTCTATAATCCTGGCTAACATTAGCAATTTAAATTTGCCAAAGGTGGTTACACTGCAATATCAAATACACAAATCATAAATATGTGAGTATGTGCATACTTATTTTTAAATGTATCAAAAAGCTATAGGTTAATAGTAATGAATATATGCTATATTTGCTATTATTAAAATATCCAATCTGTGGTAATAATTTATTTGTTTTACAAATGTGTTGGGGGGCTAAAAAATTTCAATTCATCTGTGACAGACCATGAAATTCAATATTGCTAACCATGACCAATCCATGAAATTTGTCTACTTTGTTCCTGATTTTCACAGGGCCTTCTTCTTAGATGAAATGACCCACTGAATGGAGAGCATAGCAATTTTTTCATCTATGGTAAATCAGTTTCATTTACTAGGATTTATTATGGGCTTCAGATTTAAGCTTTTTATGATCATGAACCATTATGTACATAATCTCAACCTTATGGTGATTCATCTCTGCTCCTTCCCTTTTATGAAAGAATTCTCCATCTCTAAAGTCAGTTCTCAAGGGTTGCCATCTGTTAATGATAGGATTGTTAAAAGTCAAGAAGTAAGTGAATGTTTTAAGTTGTTAATTACTTTTAGAATACCTAACATGAAAGTTCAAAAATTTATTGAAAAATAAAAATAAATTACCAAAACACTATAGCATAACTTCAGAATAATAAATAGATGAAATGTACTCATTACCTTATGTAACTGAAATCCCTCTGTACATCACCTTGACAATAAAAAAGAAATAGATATAATAGACAAATTATGTGAATTTTATCTTGTGTGCTGTTCAATACCTATGTAGTCATTCAATATTAAAAAAAAACAATTTTGGAGGAAGAAATAAATAAAATTATATTTAATGTTTGAATTATACTAATCCAGCTTCCATAATATTACAAGTTTTAATCAAATTAACTAGAAATAAAGTTGAAAAACTGTAGATTTCTCCAAAGCTTATTTACCTAAAATGTTCTAATAACTTTTCCAATATAATTACAAATTTCTATTCCTCATTATTTGAGACACTAAAGGCTACTGTCAAAAGTGCAAGTCTAAAGAATATTTACTGAAAGGTGTAGCCATCAGTCTCTTTCAGAGCTAGGTATATTTTAGAAAATTTTTTTTCTTCTGTTTTTTTTTATTAATTTACTTTATTCTCATTATAGGGGTGATGCAGAGAGGGATTACAATTACATGAATCAGGTAATGAGTACATATCCTTTTGTACAGTGTTTTCTGTTCCCACCCTCTCTCCCAGTCCCTCCCTCCTGTCTCTACCCACAGGTTGTATAGTTCACTTTCATCTGTGTCCAGTGAGCTCTACTGCTGCACTTTGTCACCCTTTTTCCCTCAAGTTCTGTACCCTTCCCCCAATCCTTACAAAAGATGTACACTTGAATTCACCGTATATATGGTAAAGAAGACAGAACCATCAAAAACTAAAAATCAGAAAGAAAGAAAGAAAAAGAGAGAGAGAAAGAAAGAGAGAGAAAGCAAGCAAGAAAGCAAGAAAGAAAGAACAAACAAAAGAGGTCTCTTGTTTCCATATTTTGGAGGTCATTTCAGTATGTATATTATTTTATATAAATATGAAGAACTCAGGCATTGTGTCTTTTTGATGTGAGTTTCTTGAATCTAGTATAATTTATCATATTCCATTGAATTTTAGCTCTAATTTTCACATATCAGAGAGGCCATGCGTTTGTCTCTCTGAGGTTGACTTACCTCACTTAACATGATTTGTTCTAGTTCCACCCACTTCCCTGCAAATGACATTATTTTATTCTTTCTAATGGCTATCTAGGTACCACATTTTGTGGATCCATTCATCTATTGTGGGGTATCTGGGCTGTTTCCATATCTTGGCTATTGTAAATAATACAGCCACATGGATGTACAGGTGTCCTTATCATACCCTGGCTCATGATATTCAGGGTAGATGCTCAGGAGTGGTATGGCTGAGTCATATGGAAGGTCTATGTTTAGTTTTTTTGAGGAACTTCCAGACTGCATTCTTGAGTGGTTGTACTAGTTTACATTCACACCAACAGTGCAATAGGTAAAACAATTTAAAATAAAAAAATTCTTTTGGCAAGACTAGGGTTTAACTCAGGACCTTATGCTTGCCAGACAGGCACTCTACCACTTGAGCCACAACTGTTATTTTTGAGATATGGCCTTATATCCTTCCTGCACCTATGCTTGTACCTTGATCCACAAGTTTTAAGCTTCCTGTCATAGTTGGGATGACATGGGAGCACCACATGCTCAACTTCTTTCCATTAGAATGAGTCTTGTGAACTTTTCTGCCTGGGGTGGCTTAAAACCATGATTCCCCCAATATCAGACTCTTCCTATACAGCTGAGAGGACAGGCATACACCACCATGCCCAGCTATTGGTGGAGAAGGGTCACATGTTATGCCTGGGCTAGCCAAAAGCCATGGCGTTCGCAATCTCAGCCTCCTAAATTGCTAGGAATATTGATCTAAATCACCAGCACCTCAGTTAAAATATTTTTTTAATTAGAGCAAATTACATTATATAAAATTGAAGACAGTAAAATACACTTTTTTAAATTGCAAAAAGCAACTAGATGTGATTTTCTTTTTTATAGGATAAAAAGCAATGACTAATATTACTAATCCATTAAAATAACCTGATCATTTAACCTAAAAAGACGTAAAATGTTTCCAACTGCATTTGATGCTTATCAACTGAATGGATCATTTAACCTAAAAAAGTAAGACTTAAAAATGTTCCCAATTGGATTTGATGCTTATCAGCTGAATGGATTGACCTAGAGTAAAGTAATATTTGAGGAAGTTCAACTTCTTTGAGAATTAAGAAACTCCAATTGATTGGTAGTAGTTTTATAATGCCACAATATTTAAAAGTCACTTTAAAAATTCCACTTGGTACTTACCACAATTCAACAGTAGTATGAAAATAACTGCTAATTTTTGTACATATTACCAAAGTTAAAAATAAAGTGTATTGGATACTTACTTATATAATTCTGTTAATGGTGAAGTCAAAATGGCTAATGTTGTAAATAGATTATTACAGTGGGAATGAATTTTTAAAATTTTATCATTTTTATGTACATGAGGATTCAGAAGTTCCTGTACAGATGAACAAATTGACCATAACATATTCTCCGTACATGTGAAAATTGTTGTGACATCAAGTCTATTGGAAAGAAAAAGAAAAATTCATATGAAACAAGTAATCTTCTAGCATGAACACTTTCATCCACACTTCTTGTACTAAGGATATGTAAGAACAGAAATTTTTGATTAGGTATCATATCTATAGAGCCCAGAAAAAAAAAGTATGAGATATCTTTTGAGATTCCAGGTAAAAGCTAATTTACAATTCCTTTATCTTGTATAAAATCTGCTACATTATTTATTTTAGTCATAACCATTTCTTTGTTTCCATCTTTTTTGAGTTTTTATTTTATAATTTAATATTTATATTTTAAAATAATGTCTCTTAATTTTTTTCATTTATGGAGTATACTGCTACATTTGAACTTATGAATGCAATATATAATAATCAAGTCAGGATAACTGGCATATTGGTGATAATCTTAAGACATATGTCACTTCTTTGCATTGAGAATGTTCAAAATCTACTCATTACTCTGAAATGTTTAATTAATTTTATTAATCATCATTACCTTAATATGCTACAGAGAAATAAAATTTATACTTCTGATCCAACTGTACCCCCAAATCCATAAATTATCTGTTCATCAATTTCTTTCCTTTTCTTACATATTAATAGAAACTTGAAGATATTTTAAAGCTTTTTGGTATATGACTAAGTTGAACAGACTATTAATTCTCTCTCTTAAATTAAGACTTAAAGAAATTGAAAGTAGAGAGGTTAAACTTTATTTATATAATTTTTATTGTAAAGGTGATATATACAGGGATTATAGTTACGTAAGTCAAGCAATGAGTACATTTCTTTTTGAACAGCGTCACCTCCTCCCTCATTTTCTCCCAGTTTTTTTCCCTCCTGACCCCCCTCCTAAAGTTTAAAGTAATGAAAAATGCTTGGACATCTGGGTGCTGGTGGCTCACACCTGTAATCCTAGCTAGTCAGAAGTTTGATATCTGAGAATCACAGTTTGAAGCCAGCCCAGGCAGAAAAAATCCCTTATCTCCAATTAACTACTCAAAAACTGAAGGGGAGCTGTGGCTTAAACTGTAGAGTGCTAGCCTTGAGCAAAAAAAAGCTCAGGGACAGAACCCAGGCACTCAGTGTGCCGGGAATCTGTGGTTCATGCCTGTAATCCTAGCTACTCAGGAGGTTGAGATCTGAGGATCACAGTTCAAAGCCAGCCAGGGCAGGAAAGTCCGTGAGTCTCTTATCTCCAATAAACGACTAGAAAACTAGAAGTGGCACTGTGGCTCAAGTGGTAGAGTGCTTGCCTTCAGCTGACGAACTGAGGGACAGCACCCAGGCCCAGAGTTTAAACCCCACAACCCACCAAAAAAAAAACCCAAAAATGCCACTTAGGACTCTAATTTATTATATAATATAAATTTTATGTATAATAATATAAACATATATGCAAGCCATATATATGGTTGTTGCTACAGATGATCAGAATACTAAAACATCAATAATCATCTTAGGAAGGTTTATAGTTTTCACTCACTTCTTTTCTGTTTAAGAAACAATTATTAATCTAAAATCCATATAATCTGATTTTGACTTTAACAGTAGTAGTTTAAGATTAACCATTCAAAGCTGTATCTCTCTATCTATACAATACACATATATAAAACATATATATATATATATATATATATATATATACTTATAACAGCTAGAAACAATAGTTCTAAGTTTGCATGACATTTTGTGTGCAACTATCCAGAAAATAAACCTAAGTCTCCATAGTGAAGTTTATTAATTAAATATATTACCTAATTCATGAGCTATAGTAAATCTGATTTCACAAATATGTCATAATGACTTGCTACTTCATTGTCAAAGGTGATTCATGCTATATAGGAAAAAGAGTGACGATTCTCCATCTATTCTTCAGAGTTCAGGTTTTTTTGAAACAGGCTATGCTAAAGTACCATATTTATGAAACACTGTGGCAGGACCTAAATGCCCTTCAAATTGCAGCATACTTTACAGGACATGAGCAGGAAATAATTTCTCCAGCCAAAAGGAGGAGAATAATGTCTCTGATGTCTGTAAGGTCTTCCTGATGTGTATTAAGAAACCTGTTATATACCTAAAAGGCAGGTTTTAATCTTATTAGACAGAGTATTTATAAAACAAAAGCCTTTTCATATTGATTATTTTGTCATGTAAGCTAATTTGTGTATTATTCAGTGCCTAAAAACCTCATATAATTGTACTATAATTTTGCCTTTGATTTACCTAGTGACAGTTGCTGCTCATTTCTATAATGTCACATTTTCTTAAACTGGATTTTGATAATATATAGTAAAAGAAAAAGAAAAGCAAGAACAGGAAATTAAAATATATTTTGAACAAAAATGAGTACACAAACCAGTTTCCTAATAAAGATAAGCTACACATTTTTAGGCTTTAAAACAAAACAAAACAAAACAAAAAACCTTGGTTGCTTAGAAGTTCGAAGTCAAATTAACTGCTCTATCACAGCACGGTTGCTTTTTTCTCTATTCAGGATCTTAAGTTTCTCTCTTTATCTTATTAACCTTTGTGTATATGTCCTAGATTACAAGACATATTGAATAATTTTCTAGAAACAAGTGGGTTCTATATACAATTATAAGGAGAAAAAAAAGAGCAAAGTTATTTTAATTTGAGTTGCACATTTCCATTTAAATACCCATGGAGAGTTGAATACAATTTCCTTTCAGATGTTAGAAACATGTTAAATATACAAAGAGTTTTATCATGAGATTCAGAATTACACTCTGCTTTATATCATGTGATGCAAATGCTTTCTTGAATATCAATCGTATTCAGAACTTCAATTACCGTATCTGTGGAGTCCTCTTATAACTGGGATTGGCCCGAGCATATCTGGAGGCCAACAGACCCAAAGATTCCTCCAGCACTTCTGTGAGAATCTCCTGGGCTAACTTAGGGGGAAGTATGGTCCAGAGATCATGCTGAAGAGCCCAGTAGAAATAATGCCACATCTGGAGTGAGAAGGAGCATCTTTCCCCCTGGCAAAACCAATACACATTAAACAATAGAATCTCATCTTCCAAATCTAATTAGTTCAGGCTGAAAGGAAATAGCTGGAAAGTCTGACATACTAGATGACCAAGAAAGATTTTTGACAAGATGTTGAACATTCTTATTGACATAGGAACATATGTTTTATTTCTGTTATGAGATCAGAATTTTTAGCTCAAAACCAGACCACAAGCATTCAACCTAGCATCTTTACTTTTAAACAATCCTCTTTCTTAGTTGCTAAACAAGTCATGCTAGCAACTTTAAAATATGACTGATTCTTTTAAAATTGAAATTTATTTAAAATGGGTACATTTAAATAGGTATATTTTTCTAGACTATTAGCATCATTGAATTAACTTTATAAATAAATCCTTCAGATTCATATTATAATGAAGTGAAGGAGTGAAATAAACTTACTGTCATCTTATCAAGCATTCATGGAGTAATGTTGTAGTGGCCAGGGGGTATGGAACTGTTGAAGATTATTACATTGCACTAGTCATTGATAGTATTTTGGTAACAGTACGGTACTAGCATCAGATACCACAGCAGTCTAATTTTATGACTTTGTAAAGCCTGGGGCCAGATTCTCATTCTTTGCCACTCTTATATAGATCTCTATGTGCACTAAACTTGCTTTGACCGCAGAGGGTAACATAACAGTAATTCAGGCCAAGCAGTACAGGCAGAAAGGATGGGGTAGCCTCAGGTGATTTGTAAGCATTGATGCTCTAAGGAAGGTTTTCTAGTTATTTGACTTCATTTTCCTCAAGCCAGAGTTAAAAAATTATTAAAAATATGAAGAGTAGAATGTACTCTTCAAACAGAATCATTTGTGATATCAGAACATTAAAATTTAAACTAGTATGATTTCCTATTTTCATCTCTAAGTAATCCTCTTTGTTAAAATTTTTTATCCACTATTAGATCTCCAAATAAATGTTATCTTAAAAATAGCTACTGTTCTGTTAAACCAAAAGTTGACAGCTTCTCATGTAGATCCTCCTGTATTTTCTTCACATATTATTTACCTGACAGTTTCTTTGATTTCTAAATAGGTATGCTCTATTGACTTTCAAGTGACATTCATAAATTAGCAAAATTATTATTCCTTGGATAAGAAGCAAGGGCATCAAAATGTAAACCAGATTAGTACTAGTAACTTTTTCCTGTTATCCTACTTATTCAGGAGGCTGAGATCTAAGGATCATAGTTTGAAGCCAGCCCTTGAAGGAAAGTCTGTGAGACTCTCTATTCCAATTAAGGACCCAAAAAGCCGGAAGTGGAGCTGTGGTTCAAGTGGTGAAGTGAAGGACAAGCGCCCAGCCATTGAGTTCAAACTCCAGGACAGACAGACAGACAGACAGACAGACAGACACACACACACACACACACACACACACACACACACACACACACAGAGAGGGGACTTTGCCTAGTGATATCTGACTTCCTACCTAAACTGTTAACAAATGTGTATGTATATATTTATTTAATGATGATGCAACATAATTCCAGTTTCTTACATTTTTTGTGACTATTCCTTTTCAAACCAAGAAAGGAAATTTAAAGCATGATTCTTTCAAATTTTATGTGTTGTATATAAGTCAAATCTGAGCCCAACCAATGCAGTGCCAACCAATACAGTAAGTGTAAATTACTTAACCTTTTCTATAGCAATGGCTGAGTACTTATAATAATGTGATCAACAGGATTTCTATGATTTTCAAAATACAAAAATCAAGTTTCCTTAATATACCTTCTAGTAATAAATAAGAAAACAAAAACAACTTTATCCACATACTCATGTAAGGACTTTTTTAACCTCATGCTTCCTTAAAAATATTCTGAACAGGGTTTTGTTCTAACTATTCTCTTTAAAATGAATACACTATCAGTATGTGCGTGGGTTTTCATGAAACCAAATTTGATTCATTTATTTTTTTTTCTGAACTGTTTCCCTACTTGTTGTCATTTCAAAAGTATTATGCTAGTAAACATCTGTTATTCTTGCAGACCAACTATAATATAAACAGATGTGAGCTTTTATTTAGATTATATACCTAGAAACAAGCAGTTGGTCTTTATTATAGAAGCCAATCAATATTATTTTTGAACAGACAATTCTTTATTCTTCAACTATTGAAAAACACAAGTTCCTGAAATTGAGCAGATGTCAACCATACTAAACATTTAATTTTAAACATGTTATCTGAACAGCCACTGTGCCATCTGACCAGTACCACATCAGATGCTCAACTCTTTGACTGGTGCAAAGTGAGAGTTTAGGAAATGGGAATAACACATGTAAGACTAACTTGCTTTTATGAAACATAAGTAAACTTCTTTTAATCTACCTGTACTATGCTCTCTACATGATGATAGGTTCCTCTGAGATCACTATCCTACCATTTGTCTCCAGTCAGGACTGTCATCTCCTTTCCTCTCAAAACAGGCTTGCCAAAAACATACTGACTTTGTTTCACAAGTCATTTGGAATAATTGGAAGAGGAGGAGAAAGGGGTACAATGAACAAGATCCATGTCAGGTACACTACTTGTCAAAATAGTTTAAAATCTTTGCTATTTTTAGAAGGATTTTAGCTTTTGTAAATAGAAAATCAATATCATTTTATTTTCCTGAGCATAAATAACACCTGCTAACTCTGCAATTAAATCCTAACTACTGACCATGTAAGTATATGGAAGCTACAGTACCATGTAATCACAGGGTAACTATCTCGTTATTCCTGTCTTTGAAGCCATAGCTTTGTCCTAAGCTGTGTGTTACATGGTAATTTGTTTTTTTTTTTTAATACTTGGTAACTTCAATAACAGCTTCTTAGTGCATCTACTTATTATTTATACTGTACAATTACACTACTTCCCAATTTGTATAAGAGAAAACAAAATGTCCCTGTGTTGAACATATACTGAGATGATACCTGTCCTTCACTAAAAATATCACATGAAATTGTTCATTATTACCCTGACATTTTGGAAGAGTTTGAAACATTAGATGGATTTATTTTCCACCTCTCTGTTTACCTCAAGGCAAATAAGAAGGATACTGCCAGGAGAGGGGAGACCAATACTTTCATTCTTATCTCAAGCTACCAGCTGTACTATACCACTTTCTCATTCTGCTCACTTCAACCACTCCTGTTTGAAGTAAGTATGTCGGATTTGGAAAGCCCTATATAGATGCTCTTGCAAAAAGAAAAACTCTCTGGAAGGGACTCTAAAGGAGAGATGAAATGGCCCTAGGAAAAGTGGAAAGTCCTTTAAAAGATCTTCTTATTAGCTGTTTTTCTGTGTCCTGGCAACATTGACTAAGTTGACATAAACAAAGCCACAGGAAGTTTGAGCACAAAGAAATGACAAGAGTGACCATAAAACTACTTCTTGTTTTTCTAAATACTCCATAGTGGTTAGGATAGTCAAAAAAAAAAAAAAAGTCATTCACTTAATGAAGAAAGGGTGCAACGGAAATGCTAATTAAGCTGAGTGTGGCTTTTCAATTCTTTGTAAATCTTCAAGTATCTTTATGAAGATATATTCATTGTTCATGGAATCCACTTCAAGGAATTTCAAATATTGTAGTCTACATATAATCTATGGGATTTGGGATAAATATGTAAAACCCAATCATGAATAGTTTAACTGATACTCAATTTGATTGCCCTGGCTTTAATGTAGAAAAAAAATTCAATTTCAAAATGCAGGGCCAATGAAAATAGGTAAGCTATAAATGATTAATTGGGTCTTACAGTATGTATACTCATAGGGACATTAAGAAGGGGACAAAGAGTATAAAGAACAAAGCTGCTTAGTAAAGTATTAAACCAGATGAAAATAAATAATAAGGAAAAGTACAAATATTCTTAACTGGTACCTCTGGAAGAAGAGTTCACAACACTTTGATATTGTGATCTTATTGAGTTCTCATTGTATCTCATTATATTCCAACTTGCATAGCACTGCAGCATTGCAGCTCAAATTAAGTTATTTTTACTTTACAGCAGAAGGAGAGTTCTGATGTCTAATTTATTTCATTTAAAAAAAAAACAACAGTGTTTTTCCAAAGTACAAATTCAATATTTAAAAAATATTATCCTAACAGTCTTCATGTGTTAGTAATGCCAGGCTCATGTTTCTAATTAGCCAGAAAGCAGGTAGGCAGTAAAACATATTTGTGTAAAAAGGAGGGATAGTAAACTTAACTTCACACCTCATAAAAAGCTTTGTAGTCATCCCAGTGGTGGCTCTCAGCATCCTGTAAAATGCTTGTAGCACAAACTCTGACGCAGTAGTTCGTAACCTGAAACTGTAGCGCGTTGATGAATTCCTGATATCTCTGGACAGGCACCAGGAACATGGGTCTGTTCAGAGGGAATGATCAAAGAGACAGAGATTTAAAGCCTGTGCAGTAGGAGGTAACAATCTCCAGCACTACAAATGGTTTTGATTATTAGATATCAATCATTCATTTCCTCTTAATACTAAAGTCTGCATCCACATTCACTTTCCAAAAAGGTAAAAATAAATAAATAACTAAAGCTGGTTTTTGTTTAGCATGTCCTTTGAAAACATACATCTGCTGTTCTCTAAATATGCATTTCAAACTTGATATAAACTTGGTTGTTAATGCATCATTCAAAACTAAAGTATTCTTTGTAGGTCTATTATTAGAGATCAGAGTGTTATTTAGGCATTAGTTGCTGTTATTACTAGGGAACAACATATACTTGTCACAAACGACTTTAATAAAGCAATCATACATCCCACAAACACAGCTTCTTTAAAAAAGAAATTGCAATTTTGTAGCTGTCAATTATCCTCTAAACTGTTTTAAAATATTCTACAGAAATAAAGACTTCAGCACATTTTGTTTATAAATTCAAGGATGAATCACAACATCTGACTACTTATGAAAATTAAAGAAATATCATTGCTGTACATCTAGCCAAATTAATTTCATTTTTTATTTCTTTAGCTCTTTATATTGCACTGCTTTTTCTCATAACCAAAGGACTCTGAAGGCTGAATTAAGAATATAGAATAGATTCTCGAAATCACTCTGGGATGCTATAGCCACACATTCCTTTCTGAGGGGCCATGTTAAATTCTGCACAGCATAAATCTAACCCAAAAGACCATTTGTTAAAAGCTGCTGCAATTTTATCGCTATATAGAAAGAATTCCATATTTTTGGATTGCTAATAACAAGAAATAAGATTGGCAGATGCTTCCTCTTCAAATATTACGGGTATTTTATTACCACATAGATGTCCTGTGATGTGTTTATACTAGTCACTAGAATAGATTAAAATGCATTTATTCATTATAGCAAGTCCAAAAGGCTGTTTGGCTTAGAAACAAAAGACAAGACATGTTTATACATGGGACAAAAAAGTTTATCCTTCCTTTTCAGTGTGGTCAGGATAATATGCCTTATAAAAGAGAAGGGGAAATTTGGTTCTGTCATAACACCATCTTGAGCATACTTGCTCCATTGAATGTGTCTTTAGAGATTACATTTGCAACTATCTACATAATTTGCTCTAAGGATTGATCTATATATTCCTTTAAATATGACCTACTCTACTCAAGAAAAATGAAAAGAATTTGCCATATTAAATACTATTTTCTTCCTCTCAAATACAATCACCAAAACGTTATTATTGTGATTTTTTAAAGATTACATGTTTCTTTAAAGCATGGGCCAAGGTAATTCACATGATACTCACTTATTAGTAGTTTCTTTCATAAAACGATCATACTGCATGAAGTGCTGGAGGACATAGACCGCTGTGGAGAGTAGGATGTGCACATTTTTCAGGGGTGCTTTGGAAGGAACCTCTTTGCTTCTCTCTTGCAGTCTTGCCAGGACAGCTGTTGCCACTTTACAACAGGCCTCCACCAAGTTTGCTCTAATTTCCTGAAAAGAATCATCTCTGCATGCCAGAGCCAGTGGAAGTATTGTGTCAAGTTTTTCCATGATGTTAGAACAAAACTAGGGAGAAATAAATGTGGCGCTGAATTATTTGTTCCATGACACAGGGTAATTTATGTACAGTGGAACCAAATTCCTAAAAAATGAATTTGGCATTAAACATAAATATAATGATGCAGCTTTATAATAATCAATTTCTCAGTTGTAGAAAGTTAAATGTCTCACGTCAAGTAAGGAAATACCAAAATGATGCCTCTCTATATATAACCCTTCAAATCTTATGCTCACAGGAAAAATACCATTAAAAACCTCACAAACCACTTTCCCATGACAATTCCTTTATTTCTAGTTCATAAATATTAAAAATGTATCCTTGAAACTAATTTTGACATTATTTTTAAACTTACTATTTTCTTTTGCTCGATGTCCATAGATTTTTTTAAATTAAATGTCACATATAAATATCAGATTAAATTAAGGAGCAATAGAAACAATCTCATACAGCACCTTCTTATTGGTAAGGAGTTGGCAGTCTTTAGATATGGTTTGTCTCGCTTTTCACTATTTATTATGTATCTACTCCTTCTAATTGCAGAGGGAGATGTGGTGGACGGGAAGGCAAAAATCTACTTCCATATCAAATCAGCCAGCAGAGTTGCCTAAAAAAAAAATTCTAGAACCTCAGGTGACAAGTTGAATGAGGCTATCTCTCTAACTCTTTAAAGGGATGGTAGGGGAAAAACAGAGGAGGAGGCAACAATGCTAGATAAAAAAATGTACTAATTGATAAGCAATATACTCATTATCTTGCCCATGTAATTGTAACCCCTCTGTACAGTATTTTCACAATAAAAATTTAAATAAAAAATATACTCATTACCTTGCTCATGTAACTTGTAACTCCTCTGTACAGTATTTTCACAATAAAAAAACTTCATTAAAAAAACTTCTCTAACATTGATTCCTAAAGTATTGTGGACTTAATGCCAAGTAGCTGTCTGTATTAGCTTTCTCTCTCCCTCTCCTCTCTTCTCTTCTCCTTTTCTCTTCTCTCTCTGTCTCTCTGTCTCTGTCTTTCTCTGTCTGTCTCTGTCTCTCTCTCTCTTTCTTTCTCCCTGTTTTGTGATTTTTCAGGATAGAGGCAAAGAGGTCAGATTAATGAAATGTTAATTTAAGTATATAAAAGATTTTTAAATTGCCCACACCAGACAGGATCTTCTTTAACCATCTAAATTTCTCTTGAAATCATTCCAAGGTATAGAACTGAACAGGCAGAGTTTCCAGTGATTATTAGCTCTCTATGATAACACAAAAGCCTTCTGAATTGCCTTAAAGTCATAGGGTAAAGAGCTGTGAAGAGGATACGTTCTTATTGGTAGTACTGGCCCATGGACACCAGAGAACAAAACTATATCCAAGCATTAGTCAACAGACTTTACCATTAGACCTTTAGGTTGTTCTTGCAATGCCTTATATAAAAAACTAAGGAAAGAAAAGAAATCTCACTGTACTCATCAGCAGTCCGAAAGGGTTTCATTTGATACATGCCTTTGCAATTTTCTTTGGTTGTTCTTCCTCAGGAAACATGTGGCAATCTTGCCAAACTCCCTGAGCACTTACAAGGTTCATAGCATAGCTCATAACTGAAGATCTTTCTTTCTGTTCCTGTTGGAGTATTCTTGTGGAAAAATTTTCAACTGTAGTTGTTATGCAATATGCCATGGGAAGAGATAGTTCCTTAAATGCATTTCTCCAGCCAAAATCTAATAATGTAGCCTGAAATGTAAATGTACATAAAGTCATATCAACACTAGCAACAACTGGTTTCTATTGTCTTACACATAAAATTATTATTTTCATTCAATATATTGAATATAAATATTCTGTGATATTCTTTAAAAACCATTTTCCAACCTGAAAAATATTACCAAGTAGATGAAACAATATACAAAATGTGCATTCTTTACACACAGTAATATACTGACATTTCACTTTACATCATCAGTGAATTTAATAAAAAAAACTTCTTTCAAAATTTGATCTCTTAAATCTAGTTCAATAAGGCCATCTTTATGAGAGCCGAAAGCTGCACTTACAATCTATCACATAAAGTAACCTTTAAATTCAATATATTTAATAAAGTCTAAATTAGATTTTATCATTTTATAGTTTATTGTTAACAAGTATTGCAACATAAGACTGCATTTAATATTCAATCTTTGATTTCTTTTTCAGTTTCAGAATTCCAGTCAACTTCCCCCAAAAGAGCAATACAAAATAAATTTCTCTGAGAAAGCACAACCATTGCACCTTTCTGGATTTAGACTTGCTTAGAATTTTACTGAATTTCTCCATGCACAAAGTGTCAGGCACTATCATTTTTCTTCTAGGCAATGATGAAAAATTGACCTACATGTACTCTTGGTGTGTTTGGAGCACTATTTTTTTTATTCTGTTTTTCTTTTTGTTTTTATTTGGTTGTTTTCTCTTATGGCAATGTATCTTTAAACATATATTTTCCTAAAAATCCCTACTGTTCTCTAAAGAACGCTATGAATAGGGTTAAAATCTCTGCTAAGGAAGCACTCCTCTTATTTTAGTCTAACTTTCTTTGTTCTTGGTAATTTGCCACTTAATGTGTCACTTCTACTGTGAGCTTGGTATGTCTGATTAAATTACATATTTTTCTTGGTCTTGAGCCTTTTAATACAAAAATAAGAGCTAAATTTGATGATTATTCAGTATAAAATTATTTGAGATTATGAACATTAGCCTAGTTTTCTTGTACGCACACTCCATTCAGCATTAATGCTTTTTATATATAATAGAAAGTAATAAAAATGATTCCTTTTCTAGATCTAGAGTTCTATGGTTACATAATTCTATAAAAGGGGCTCTTAGCTTCACTATGCTAATATTACTAAACTTTTATATGTAAAGCTTAGTTGAATCCTTAACATTCTAGGAACTCAAGCATGTTTCTCTTATATTTTCATAAAATTAACTAGTAGTCAAATCAAGTAAGAGTATAGACTCTCCTTTTTTCTTGAAAATTATTTTATTTTATTTTTAAATATATTTTTATTTTCTTTAGGTAGTTGTACAAAGGTGGACTCTGCTTTCTTACAAGTGAAACTTTTGATGTGAAATACTAACTAATCATCTTAGATTTATGATAAGAATATAAAAAGAAACATATCTCCACAAAATATTTTTTAATCTTGATTTTTTATTCTACCTTTGGATGCCTGTATTTATTAAAATTTTCCATTCATTCAAAAAATAATTTGGTAAAATTTTCTGTTAAGTGATATAGTTGCAGTTAATAAGGCTTTTATTTGTTTAGTTTTGTTTTTTTATTGTCAAGGTGATATACAGAGGGGTTACAGTTACATAAGTAAAGTAATAACTACATTTCTTGTCAAACTTGTTACTCCTTCCCTCATTACTCTACAACTTTCCCTCCCCCAGCCCCCCATGTACAGATCATTTCTAACGTATTGCCTTGTGAATATCATTGTTGCATTGGTTCCCCCTCTTGTCCTTTGTCTCACCATTCTGTTACAATGGTGATTACTTTGTCCAATGATAATTTATGGATAAATGTAAAATGTTGGCCCACCTGTACTGTTTCCAACTATGGAAAAAGTACCTTAATAGTAGCCCTTCAAAAAATCTTTGCTTAAAAGTCTTATAAAAATCTATTTTGAAAGATGTTACTTCTCTTCTCATCTAGTATGTGGCATCACACGTTCTAGTTAGACAACACTTACTAGTTGATCTAAGAACAAAAAGAGGGAATTGTGTGATTTTCTCCTTGGTGCAACAAGCAGGTATCTATTGAATCTGATATTCTATCACCTACCAATAATTTCTGAGTTCTCATTTTTACTTCTGGTTATATCAAGATATATAGTTTTGAAAATTTTCCTGATTATTTCCCTTGCTTAAAGCCTAAAACTGTTAAAACTTCTTTTGCCTTTTAAAATATTTGCCTAGTATATGTCAAGATCCATTAACCAATAGACATATTCAAGTTATTCCAAATGAAATAATTTAATATAGAGTATTGGTTACCTTGACTTTATATTTAAGAGACTAAACAGAGCTATGAAGCATAACAAATATTAATATGACAGGAAACCATAATCCTCTTTATGGTTGGAAGAACAAAGAAAAGGAAATGTGCCAGTTTAAATGTCACTTTTCAACAACTATCTACAGTTCACATTCTTAAAATGAAGATCCTAAGTCAAGATAGAAACAAAATTTTCTTGAGTTCGACATATCTCTCTACTCCTCTCATAAGACTCATTATGCAAGAGAACAGTGTCCTGACTAAATCACTTTGTCCAAAACATGTAGGTCAATTTGTAATCAAGAATTTTACTGAAGAAGCAGAGATTGAGAGGATCATGATTCAAGGTCAGCATAGGCAAAAAATTAGAGACCTCCCTCTCCACCAATAAGCCACTTATGGCGACACACACCTATAAAACCAACTATACAAGGGCATAGTTGATCCAAGGTTGCTGGCCTTAAACAGACCCTATCTGAAAAATAAAGTAAAAAGGCCTAGAGACAGGGCTCAAAAGGTAAAGCGCAAGCCTAGCTTTGAGTTCAAACCTCAGTGTCACACACAAGAAACTCCCTAAAGTGATGAAGAGTAAACTTCAAGACATACAAATTTTTTAAATCCTCACCTCTTTTACTGGTAGCAATTGCTCTGAAAGAATACTGGGTTCATTTGCTCTTGTTTTCTCTATCATAACTTTTCTATTAGATTTTTCAAAAACTCCTAAGTGAGAAGAAAGCAAACATAAACAAATCTTTACAAAGAAAAATATTAAATGTTAACACAGGTTAAAATGTTGTAGGAATGCTTTATGCACAGTAGATACAAATACGCATACATTGCAATATGTAAGGAACACAGGCAAGAAGATGTAGAGTCATGCCCACAATAACATTAAAATTTTTATATACAATTTGATGAAATCTATATGCTACTCATATTTATAATGAACAACATGCATAAAAAACCTGTAAAATATAGATTGTTTGTCATTAGGTCACTTACATGCTGACAACGTTGAATGAATTACAAGTAGAAAATAAACATTAATTTCCTTGTCCTTTTAAAAAGTTAAATTGTAGCCTGACATAGTGGTTTATGTCTATAATCTACACACTGGACAGCTTGAGGAAGTGAGATAGCAAGGTTAAGGACAAAGTATGCTACAGAATGACACCTTGATTTAAAAAAAAAGGTTTCTACATTGTGGTTATTCATAGCACATTAACACTTCCTTTTATGAAAGAACCATAAACAAAAGAACATCAATAGATATAAGAATTTAAGGAAAAATATAAACTAAATTATATCAATTTTAATTCGAAGAAAGAAAACTCTGAAACAAACATGAAATAATCAGAAACTCCAAAAGCAGAAAAATTTGTCCAACTTTTACTTATATTTTTAATAATTAAGGTACTCTTTTCCCTGGAAAAAATTAAATCTAGAAAAACTTAATATTATAAAAAGAAATCCTTCCACATTTCCATTAAAGTTAATCTCAGGTTGATTCCATGAATAATTTAATATTTACCTTTTTGTTGTTTAGATGAGATGATAAATTATACTCAATGTTCTAAATTTCATTTTATTTTTAAATTTATCAGGAATTTTAATAATGAGATTTTCTGTTTTCCTTAAGCTAAGCAAATTTCAAATTTGGCTGATTTTAGCAGTAGGGATTCTGATCACAGAAATAAAAATACTACATTCTAATTCTCAAGTTAGTTTCAATACTCTTGTGCCTAGAGTGTACTAAAGGTAAATATTCTATCTGGCAGACAATAATATCAGTGCTATGGTTTGTATTAGTGTCACTGACAGGCTTATGTGTTATAGTCTTGGTCGCCAGCCTGTAGAGCCATGGAGTCGTGGCAGAATCATGGAATCAAGTTAGATCCTTGAGGGAAGGCCCTTGAGTTGTATAAACTTCAGTTCCATCCATCTCTCTTCCTCCTGGATGCCATGAGGTGAGCAATCTTGTCTACCTTGCGCGTCCCATCATGATGTACTTTGCTGCCAGGGCAAAGGACTACAGAATAAAATGTGAAGCATCATAAGCCCAAAGAAGCTTTTCTTCAATGATGCAGAGCTGACTAACATAACCACCCATAAGGGAAGTTTTATTAGTGTTTCTCATAAGAAAAGTCTCTTCAATTTTTATATTTCATAACTTTTATGGATTTTTAACACAATCTAGAATTTGTTTAAAGTGATGAGACATTCCATACAAAATATACAATATGGCTGGCTCATAGACACATGCGCACACAATCACATATATACACACATACACACACATGTGAGAACTCTCGGCTCCCCTTCAACCTTATTCATCATCTCCAGGAGCCCGTGGATTTCAATTTAAGAATCCTGTTGTATTTCTCAAGATACTTCACAATATAGAAAAGTTCTTTATGACATAGTTTATAATGTCCTTTTAAGGTGAGAGTTATAAATAAGATCAATTCTAACACTGAGCTAAAATCCAAACTGACCACATATTTTAAAGGTAAAAAATAAAACTAGACATCTATTAAAGTAAAATTTGCAATATTTTTAAAAGAAGGTTTCCAGGCACAAAGAGTAGGTCTCATAAAGTAATTCTGCACAACAAAGACACTATCAGCAGTCCAAATAAATTTACTAAACTTAATAATCAGACTCTGTAAAAATCTTCATTTTGATGACAGTGCCCTGTATCTTGTATATACACTTCTCTAATTTGGGGAGGGGAAAGGAAAAAACAAAGTGCTTAAATAAGATTACAGATTGACCCATTGTAACAATGAGATGTACAAAACACTATGTTGAAAACAAACTATACAACTTTGGTGGGGGGGGGAGTTATGGAGGTGGGAGAGAAGGGATGGTAGGGGGAAAACAAAGGAGGAGGCAACAATGCTCAATAGGAAATGTACTTATTAACTTGCTCATGTAACTGTAACCCCTTTGTACAGCATTTTTACAATTAAAATTGTACAAAAAATGTACAATTTAAGTTTACAAAAGGTTGAGCAGAAAAATAAGCTGTTCCCATAAACTTCTTCTTACCCTCAGTGTTCCTGTCATTAGCGTCTTACAATGATGGAGTCTATTCGTCACAATCGATGAACCTAAGTTGAAATGCCATTCTAATGTTACAAACTGATGTTTATGGTTTTCATTCTGGTTCATTAGTTTAAAATTATTAGCACAAACTAATTGTACAAAGGGGCTTTGTTATTATATTTACAACACACATACATAATGTACCTTGATCAAAGTCACCCTATCTATGTTATTCCTTCTTAACCCCTCTGTCTCCTACTCCCTTCTTTTTAACCATTTTTGTGGATTTCATTAGGCTATTTTTAAAATATATTTAATATACTTCTATGATCACCCATTTTTGTGTTATACTTTGCCTCCTAACTTTTTGTGATGTGAAATTCTGTGGGTTTTGTTAAATATATGGTATCGTATATCCACCACTACTGTATTGCATGGAATAATTTCATTGCTCTAAAAATCCCCTGTATATCACGTATCTGTTTCTCATACTCCCTTCCTCTTTTCCCTTTCCTCCCCCCTCATTTCCCATTCCTTCACCTCCACTTTTAGAAAATAAGATCTATTCATGGTCTCTATAGTTTTGCTTTCATACAGTATGTAGTCTTTTTAAGATTGCCTTCTTTCACTTAACAATAAATTTTTAAGGTTCTTCATGTCTTTTCATGGCTTGATATCTTATTTCTTTATACTAATGAATACTATTCCATTGCATTGATATACAACGCATTCATCTACGGAAAAAAACAATTGAGCTGCGATTGTGAATGAAGCTAATGTAAATATTTATATATAGGTTTTAATGTGGACAGATTGTTAACCTCATTTGGATAAATATAAGATTGTAAATTGCTAGATCATATCATTCAGTTTTATAAGATATTGTCAAACTCTATTCCAAAGAGGCTATGCCATTTGCATTCTTCACAGCAATGAATGAGAAATCCTTTTGCTAACACGTTAGCCATTTAAGCATTTTAGCCATTCTAATAGGTGGATTTAGTTACTCTGATGGTGGATTTTAGCCACTCTAGTAGATGTGTAGTAGTATCTTGTTTAAATCCACATTTTCTTAATGACATATCACACTGAATATCTTTTCATATGCTTATTCACCATCTGTATATTGTCTCTGGTGAGCTTTCTATTCAGATATTTTAAAATCACGTTGTTCTCGTGTTGAGTTTTTAAAAGTCTTTGTATAATTTGGGTACAAATTCTTTATCATATATGTGTTTTGCAGTTCTCTTTTTTAAGTCTGGAGATTTCCATCTTCTTTGTGACCAAACCTTTTTGCTTGATCACTTGAGAAATTTACCTTCCAGTTTAAAGACACAGTTTAAAGGAGTCTCTCATATTATTACTGTGATAGCAATAAAGAAAAATAAAACCAGCTAAGTGCTGCTGGCTCACATCTGTAATCCTAGATACTTAGGAGACTGAGATCTGAGAATCACAGTTTGAAGCCAGGGCAGGAAAGTCCCCTGAGACTCTTATCTTTAATTGACCACTCAAAACCTGGAAGTGGTACTGTGACTCAAGTGGTAGAATGATAGTCCTGAGCATAAGGAAGCTCAGGGACAACACCCAAGCCCTGAGTTCAAGCCCCATAACAGACAAAAATAAAAAGGAAAGAAAAAGAAAAAGAAAACCTAAAATTTACATACATGAATAGATTTAATTGACAACTGTATGTACCAATGGAAAATTATTCAGCTAGTAGAAGGAATTATGTTCATTTTCTGCATAGTTCATAAAGAATATCTTCATAAAATGTTAGTGTTATATAGGAATATATGTGGAGGTAGTTCCTCCTGGAATGTAGAAGAGTAAAGTAGAAAAATAAATCACAATTTTACCATATGTCATTTGTCCTGTTCAAAAGCTCTATAATATTCATATAGTCGTATTCAAAACAATTTGAAAGAAGAAAAAAATCATAAAGCTCAAGTTGTTAATGACACGTAAAATGACTTGGATTCCTAATATCATTTTACTATTTCTGTAGAAAGCTTATAAAACTAGCTAATTTAGAAGGTATTTACTCTGGAAGAATAACATGAGTTTGAAGTAAAATTGTCCTAGATCATTTTATGGAAATAACTGCCTGCCATTGGGTAGTTTGTATCTTTGGAAAAAAGTTAATTATCTTCTATTTATCATTTCATTCCCAAATACATTATGTTTATTCATTAAATGTAATGTGCTCTGATGTTTATATAAACCATCTGCCTATTTTCAAGATGAGTAAGAAAAATTATAAACTTTTAAACACTTTTTTTTCTTTCTTTTTCCTGGTGCCTACTTCTAGAATGAGAAAATTATCAGGTAATTATGATAACCTTTAAAATACAATTTTCCCCTCCCCTAAATTTAAAATATTTTTTTTTAAAAAGCTTAATTTATATACCATAGACAAATGGAGTGGAGAAGTAAGGTAAGATTAGTAGTAACACTAAGCCTACACCAATAAATATTTTGTGATTTAATTGTGTCCTTTTTATATTTCTTTAGGATTAAAAAATGGCCAACTTCAAATTTTGGCAATGTAAAATGTTATGATTCCATGAACACTTGAGAAATTACTGCACATGTTTTAAAACATATTGAAATTTCAATACACTTAATATTGTCAATTTTTGGCTCACCACTGTAAAATATAGTTATCTACATGCGATCAACAATGGTTTCTCTAAGAGCATGCCTAGATTAAGAACCTCAGGAGAGTGCAGAGGGTCACAAGAATGGCAGCTGCTCAACAGCTTCCCCTACAGAGTTCTCTTTGGTTCATTTTACACTTCTGGTTAGTTTCCACACTGCTGCTTTCTTTCATAGGGAGTGGAGGTTGGCAGTACTTCCCTGTGACATCCACTTTCACACCCAAATTGGTCTTCATAGATTCCCATTGTGTGCACTTCAAAGCAACTTGCCTTGTTGGCAGCTCTAAGTGGGAACTACTAGTCTTTCTTTTCTTCACTGTTTTTTTCTGGCTCACACGCAACCTCCCACCAAAAGCTGAATCTGTAGAAGAGACTACATCCAAGAGATAATACCATGAAAAAGTATGAAGAGAAGCCCAGGTGGCCACCTTGCAAATTTCCAATGTGGAAGCCTTCGACCTCTCTGCCCAAGAAACAGCTAAAGTCCTAGAGTAATGAGCTTTACAAACCCTAGGAGCCTCTTTACCTTAACTACATACGCCTCCCTAATACAATCCCTTAACCATCTAGCTAAGGAACTCTTAGAAGCCATTTGACCCCTCTTAAGACCCCCTAAGAGTACAAACAATCTTTTAGAAGATCTGAAATCTTTGATTCTTCTGAGACAAACCCTAAGTGTTCTTCTTACATCCAATTGAAGCAGCCATTGCGCTTTGTCATTGCTGGGGCTAAAGAAAAAGGAGGGCCAAGACATATCCTGGTTTAGATAAATCTCAGATGCCACCTTTGGAAAAATCGAGGAACTGCTCGGAGGACAACTTTATTTTGAAGGAGTATTAGAAATGCACCACAAATCAAACCCAAGGCCAATCCATAAAATATCATCACCTAAAACAAACACAGTAAGACATTATAACATCAAATAACATCCTATCGTTCTCTGAAATAATGAAATTAGAAAACTGTAAGTCACAATCAAACAAGATCAAACAAATAAAAGTATTAAATATCCTTTATTTTCTCAGAAAATATTTTTTGGTCTCTACAAAACCTCTTCTTCAAATTCAAATTATTATGAGAACTTCCAATCTGGTTGACAATACAGTAGAAAATATCAAAAGAGGAAATAATAAATGTAGCTAATCATTTTTATATTTTATCTACCTGATGTTAAGCATTTGAATGTTTTAAAATCTTCTGGATATTTAAAAATAAAATCTTTACTTTTGCCATATTGTTTGGGTTTGATAGATATAGTGCGCAACTTTTTCCTAGTTAACAAAATGTGCTCCATTCAAAACAAACTAGAAACTAAATGACTTGTTCTTTTTTTCTCATTTTCTCCCACAAAAGATTTTTTAAGTAAACATTAACAATCAGGAATATTCCATAGTTAGTTTAAGATTAATTTGGTTTCTTCCATTATCCATTTCAATGATAATGAGGGATCCATTTCTTTTTCTTCCTTATTTAAGAAACCAATGCCTTTGATATTAAGTAATTAATTTAGGTATGCTGAATAAAATATTTAAGATTTTTCTTGACAATTTCTTTCAAGATAGTTCTTTGCAGAGATCCATTTATATAAATTTATATAATCCACTTATATAAATTTATGTCAGATTAAATGACTCAGCTTTCTTACACAAATATTCTTTTCAAAAACTATATATACATATAGATATATAGATATTACTAGGGGACGTCTAGTACTGAGACATTTCTTATACCTGCTACTCAAAACTCCTTTTGTAGATGATCACATTTGTAATCATCAACAAATATGTTTGCGTCTACACTATTATTAATGTCATAGTGAAGTTGCTTTTATCTGCCACACAGCTGACAAACATGAGGTAAGACACTATTTGTAGCATAATTATATATTTGTTTTGTTGATTTTTTGCAAGAATAGTAACTGTTGCTCTCAACTATACAGCATTTGCAATTCTCCACACTGACTGATCTTAATCTCATGTGATTGAAGAAGCTCTTCCTTTTATCTCTTGTTTCCTTAAATCAACAAGTTATATCTTTGCTTCAATTCTTGATCACTTCAGTTTTTAACTTTGTAATTGTTTTCTAGTGGAATTTTAATGTTAAAATTATGTTTTAGAATTGATATAGATTTCCAATGGCCTGGTTCAGTATCAAGATAAGATAATTCCAGATAGGTAGAGTCTTAGATGTCTTGCAGCTCATTCTGTTTCTTGATCTTCAGAAAACATCTACTAAAGAGCTGGATGAGAGATGTCTATTTTAGCTAGGCAGTATGAATGACCAAACGTCAACTTTTGGAAGCACCAAATGTCATCAATAGGATGCCCTATTGCTCTATACAGAGCTTTGTGACCATATATTAGCTCCATCTAGGAAACTTAGTAGGTTTGAAGTCATTTCCTAATTGAATCCATTTTTCATTCTTTCATTTAAATAATTATTATACTTTCTGTACTATCTTATTTTTTCAGATTTAAAAATCTATAATCTACCTTTTGTATTCTTCAAATTAGCTCCAGGACTGGAAGAAGAATTGTTATGGCTTGGGTATAGTTTAAATAAGCTCCATAAAGTTTCATGTGTTGTAAGCTCTGTCATAAGTGTTATAGTATAAAAGTGGAAATCGTTGGAAGAAATGCTCTCAGGAGAACCCTCATCAGAGCCACCATCATACATTTGGACTTTCACCATCTCAAATTATGGCTAAATAAGCCCTTCTCCTTTACAAAGTACACATGTTCAGGCATTTTGTCACAGCAACAGATAATGCCTAATATTTTGTTCTACAGAATTTATTTTCTAATAATCCCAACCCAAACTTAACCTGAAACATAGAATACTAGTGAACTATGCTTAATATAAAATAAACTCCAACCCTAGAACTGTAATAGCAATATTTTTGTGAGGCAAGGTAAAAATAAAGCAATATAAAAACATATATGCTGAGAAAGCTCCATGTAAGTTTTACTAAGACATTGGGTTTGGGGGTTGAAATTTTCAATTATTTTTTAATTTCTTGCCTCTTTTACTTCCTTTTTCAGATGAAGTATTCTCCATTGGAATGATACCTTGTAAAAAAAGCACTCTATAATTTTTTTATAAAGATTTACAATAAAAATCCTTATTAAATATGGTTATCACAACATAATATACAGTAAACATTAAACAGATAGCACTATGCCTTGGAATTCTACCATTTAGGTAGAATTTGCCCACATGGCAAAGCTTTCTTCAATGTTTTGTAAAGACTAACTAAACTTAGGTTAGCATATTAAAATAGTTACAGTATAATTTTAACAACTCACTTTTACTGTTCATGATATGCAAGACTTCTACTTATATATATTAAATCATTCAATTGTCACAATTTTACATAATATTGGAATCAGAAGCAATTAATCTTAAACAGCCATACAAAAAGAAAACTAAAGCAATCCTCCATGATTACTTAAAATCTGACACTGAATAAGATTTTTCTGCTCAAGGCAGAAAGGGGGGGCAGGGAGGGGTAGTGGGAGAACAACAAAGGAGGGGGTAACAATGCTTGACAAGAAATGTACTCATTACCTTACTCATATAACCTTAACCCCTCTGTACAGAATCTTTACAATAAAATAAAAATTAAAAAAAAATTCTGCTCAAGATCATCTGTTGAAGGAAGTACCAGTACATCATCCAGTGTGCTTAATCTCTCCATAGATCAGTTTTGTTCTTTTTTAAAAAAAATTGATCTGATTGGGGCCCCAGTGGCCCACACCTGTAATCATAGCTACTCAGAAGGCTGAGATCTGAGGATTATGATTCAAAGCCAGCCCAGGCACTAAAATCGATGAGACTAATATCCAATTACCTACCCAAAAACTGGAAAAGGAGCTCAAAGTGGTAGAGCACTAGCTTTGAGCACAAAAATTCATGGACCCAGGCCCCGACTTCAAGCCATAGGACCAGCAAAAAAGATCTGATTTTATTAAATAGTTGATTTGCTAATTTGATTTAAGGAGTCAGACAAGTGTAAAAGAGAAAAAAGTTATACAAAAGATAGACAAAAATGAAATGTACACTAAATTTATCTAAAGAATTTTATTTTGTAATTTGTTTTCAAATAATGGCATAGATTCAAAGTAGCATAAAGCCAAACAGATAAATGGTAGATTTATAAATTAGTATATTACCTGAAGACTTCCTTGGAACTAAAAGTGATGAAAACATTCCTTGAAACAATTCCTGAACATCATTTTCCAGCTTCAACAAGGATTTTACGAGGTGTGACAAGAACTGGAGTTCATCGAAGGAAAGAGATAAGTCTCTTCCTTTCTCTGGGCCTTCTGGAGTAACTGTGAAGAGATCAGTAATGCTTTTTATTTTAGTGTTTTTCTAATAAGTATTAGGATGATCTATATGACTGCAAAAAAAAACATCAAACTAACACCAGTGTGCACCAGTGACTCATGTCTGCAATCCTAACTACTCAGGAGGCTGAGCGCTCTAATCTTAGCTACTCAAGAGGTTGAGATCTAAGGATGACAGGTTGAAGCCTGGCAGGAAGGTGTGTAAGACTCTTCTCCCCACTAAGCAAGTAAACAAACAAAAGCCAGAAATGGAGCTATGGATCAAGTAGTAGAATGCTACCCTTAGCTAGAAAATGCATAGAAGTTTAGAGACAGCCCTCAGGCTTCTGAGTTCAAGCTCTAAAACTGGCATACACACAAAAAAATTACAGCAAGTTGATTCATTAACCAGCACATAGGAAAATATTTCCTTCTGAGAAACTGGAGATAAAATTTATGTCTAGTGAAATTATGAAAAATAATAAGCTTCATTTTCTTTTTCTTTTTTTTTGGTCCAGTCGTGGGGCCTGAACTCTGGGCCTGGGCGCTGTCCCTCAGCTCTTTAGCTCAAGGCTTGAGCCACAGCACCACTTCCGGTTTTTTTCTTTTTGCTTATGTGGTGCTGAGGAATCGAACCCAGGTACTCAGGCATGCAAGGCAAGCGCTCTCCCACTGAGCCACTTTCCCAGCCCATAAGCTTCATTTTCTGAGTCATAAACAGCAATGTAATTTTTGTTGTAAAAAAAAGATCACACCCTACACAATTTTGATTTTTTTAAGTCTACCATATGAATCTAATTATGTGAAAATATCACAAAAACTCAAAACAAGAATATTCTCCAAGGGGCTGGGAAGGTGGCTCAGTGGTAGAGCGCTTGCCTTGCATGCATGTAGTTACGAAAAGAACATTTCTGTTTTTAGGGAATTCATAAAACACATTAAAATATATATGAATAAATGTTTGCAACCTTCTTTCAGTTCAAGAAAAATAATTGTTAGGAGAAGAGAGAAACCCTAAGAGGTAGAATTGTGGTAAATTATTAACACTTAGAAAATCCGGTTAAGAAGGAAAATTAGGAATTATTGGTATTATTTTGGCAGTTTTTTATATAAAAAAAGTAGATCTTAAACGAAAAACTGAAAGGAGTATCAGATGACATCCTAACTCTCCAAATTTTAATATGTACTGTGTCTATGTGTTTAAAAAATAACAAATAGGGGCTGGGAAGGTGGTTCAGTGGTAGAGTGTTTGCCTCATATGCATGAGGCCCTGGGTTTGATTCCTCAGCACCACATAAGCAGAAACAGCTGGAAGTGGTGCTGTGGCTCTAGTGGTAGAGTGCTAGCCTTGAGCTGAAGAGCTGAGGGACAGAGCCAAGGCCCAGAGTTCAGGCCTCATGATCACAAAATAAATAAATAAATAAATTTATTAGTTAGACATAAACTACATAATTCATGAAATCATGTTTCAAAAATCACTCCTGTCTAAATAATCATGATATCTATTATCTATATGAGAATAATACAATGTAAAACTAAGATGTACTTTTACCTCTTGTCATCCTACTGTTTCATTTCAATAGAAAATACATTAAGAGTACAAGGAACAATTCAATTATTAAAATATCCATTTTGTTGCTTCCAGTTTATATTGATATTACCTAATGGTAGTTTTAGCCATGATGTCATGGTTAAGGAATCTTTCTCTTATGATTAACACTTCTTATAATAGGTATTCAAAGAATGTCTTGAGAACTAATTATAAATTGAAAAATTTGTGAGCTTTTACAAAGTAAGCAATAAAATGTTGTTAGAAACATTGAGTGCCATCAAAAATTGTATGATGACTACATGTGAAAAAAGATTACTTTATTACATAGATACAGAAGGAAAGTTCCAGAAATGTAACGATTTTATAGGCAATCCACTTCATTGAAACATTTAATTACTGGCATCAAACAAATGTCATTATGGCACAGCCTTTCACTGAGGACCAAAAATATAATGATATCTTACAGATAATATAAAGGTATGTACTAACTTCAATCATTAAATCGTGTTCTTAGTTTTTTAAAGCTTTAATAAATCTACAAAAACTCAATTTCATCTCTTCATTAACCATAATCTTTTTTTTTTTTGGGGGGGGGGGTCCAGTCGTGGGTCCTGAACTCTGGGCCTGGGCGCTGTCCCTCAGCTCTTCAGCTCAAGCCTAGTGCTCTACTACTTGAGCCACAGCGCCACTTCCTGCTTATTTTCATTTTGCTTATGTGGTGCTGAGGAATCAAACCCAGGGCCTCATGCATGCAAGGCAAGCGCTCTACCACTGAGCCATCTTCCCAGCCCCATTAACCATAATCTTACATTTATTGAAACCTATTTCCATAAACAGCCCTACCTATCACTCTTCCAAACGGATGCCAAAGCACATAAAATATACAGCTAGAAACATAACTAAGATTTTGTCAGAGGTTTTATCCACCACATAAAAAGGAAAAATGAAAAAAAAATTGTATTCTATTTAGTCATTACTTGATTCCCACTGGGCCTGCTTAGTTTATTGATTTATTTTAAGCTTTGTTTATGGAGATAAGAGACTAGCTTAACTTTCCAAATCTAAAAATGCCTATTGTACCAAACATTTTGAAAGCAATTTCCAATGACTATAAGAATGTTTCATTATTCTTTATTAAGCAAATCACTCCCTTATCACTCATGAAACCTTTATTAGCTCATTTCTTTTGAAAATACTGTATTTATAGAATAAACAAAGAGGTACTCCAAGAAAAACCTTTGAGTCAAAATACTACAGCCTGAATGTTACTTGTTTATATGTAGAGTCTGGAGCTATCTACATGAAGAGAGAGGCCTTACCTTCATAACCTGGAATTAGAAGGGCCTTGTATTCCAGAAAAATGCCAATATTGAAAAGCAAATCCTTTTTAATTCAATGACTCTTTCTAACTTATTAATAAAAGAGACAAAATAATATGTATGACCTAAATCTAATCATTTTTCCCCAAAGAAGCAATGACTATGGTAGAAGCCCATTAATTAGTAGTCCTTATTTCCTATCACTATTAGCTCAGTATTTTCCCCAGGGGTTTTATAAGGATTCTTAATTTATGGGAAAATAATTCAGTGATAAGTTCATTTCATGAAAGGCCAATTAAAGCAAAATTAAACACAAAGGATGGGATGGCATTTCCCAAACTTATTTGACTTATTTCCCCTCAGTATCTCATAGGACTAGAGCCCTAATCATTACACCTTAGCTCACAATTCCTATTTGCTGAAGCACATCTATTTTTCTGTCCCTTAGACTCTTCACACCTAACCAAATTAAAAAAGGATTTTTCCCAGCAGAAATTCTCTTTTACATCTTCCTTCATTAAATTAATTTCTTTCCCTCTTCTTTTTCAACATGACTTCTGTTTACTCCCACATCACTTTCAATCAGAAAAACTTATCCCTAGAAAACTTCATCAGGATCATGTCAATCCAACAAACAACTTTCTCATCTATCAACATGGCCTTTATTTCTTTATCATTAAATTATCTATCCATCTAATTTATCTAAATAAATCACTAGGGAATCATCTTGCTTCCAAAAAGGTTTGGACACACATGTTTTTAGACAGAAAACTATGTTTGGTCTGCCTGCCAATCATTGCTGTAAAACATCTGAATAAATGATTGGTGTTTGTACATTGAGTGCTGATTCTTGCAAAATACAAATGTCACTTAAATCTCATTAACATTATAAAAGAAAAATTTACTATTGACTATCAATGAAAATAAATAACAGCTACATAGTTGAGGAGTTTGTTTTTTTTCCTTCTATATAACTTCCTTTCATCACTGGGATCACAGGTGCATACCACTGTCTATGGAGACACGTGGATCTTTTTGCTCAGCTGTCCTGGCACTATGATTCTCCCACTTTCACCTCTCTTTCACCTTGAGATGACAGGCACATGCCATTGTGCTCAGCTATGGGAAAAAAGTGTCATGGAAGCTTTCTGCCTGGGCCAGTGGAGAATGACAGTCTTCCCATTCTCTGCCTTTCAAGTAGCTAGGATGACAGGTAAGAGCCACCTGTTCACAAAAGAAGTCTGGAAGAAGTCTTTAAAACATATTATTATATATGTTTGATCTGAGCATAAGAACTACTCAGAAAAAAAATAATCAAATTTGTTTACACACATACCATCAAAATTTATTCCCATAAAGCCAGAGACTATATCCTATTTTTGTTGCTATTGTTGTTTTCATTTATATGCAGGTTTTCAGGGTCCAAAATCAGTTCTCACAAGGTAGGCACTTAAATTGGCATAATAAAAAAAATAAATAAAATCATCTAAGACCTAGAAATGGCTAGATTTGGCCCCAAACCAAGATTTTTATACCTAACCCTAAAATGTATTATTGAAAATAATAAATATTTAAGCTTGGAAATGAAGAAAATAACAGTATCCTATAAAGAGTTTGACAAGATAAATTCGAAGATTACTGGCTAAGAACCTAATGAAGCATATTGCTGAAATTCAATCTAAGATATGGTTTGGGGGTGTTAAAAAGTATACTTTAGGAAAAATTTCACCATAGATTCATATCCACCTATTCATATGCAGCTAGTCCTAAGATGAAATATATTTTTGTGTGTCTATATTCATATATAGAGATATATTCCTCATAATGAATACAGATTACTGACATATATTTAAGTGTTTTTCACCTAGAGGCTGATTGAAAAAAATATTAGCTTCATTGTCTTCTAGTAAAATTTAGCATATTGAGCATAAATCTAGAGAAATATTAAAGCTCCTTTCATTTGCTATGCAACAAAACACGATTCTGAATACATATCCAACTCCAGCTAATTCAGATGAACTATGAAAAAATCCAGGTAGCAATGGAAAGTACACATATAATTTTCTAAAACCATTAGCAACATAATTCTTGTTAATAATAGCATTAAGATACTGGAGAAAATGAGAATCTACAAA